GATATTGATTCCATAAGTCGCAAGATGATCCTTCCCATTATAGATTTCTTGACTCCTATTATTACCTTTATCCTAAATAGGTCCTGGAAAGATGTTAATGTTATCCCCATCCCAAAAAAAACAAATCCAAGCACTTTTTCGAATATCGCCCTATATCCATTCCTCCTTTCCTCTCAAAAGTCTTTGAATTGCTTGTATCTTGTCAGCTAATTGCTTTCCTCAACCAAAACTAACTCCTTAGTCCCTTTCAATTTGGCTTCGGTATGGGGCGCAGCACTTCTACTGCATTAGTAAAAATAACAGATGACATCCGACATGGTAGGGAATATCGGCAGCTAACGCTGTTAACGTTACTTTACATCCTCTTTGGTATAATGCATTCTCTTGACATATCTCCAGCAGAAATGGTATGGTTTCAAAGTTACCTGCTAGGGCATCGGCAACACATCCGTGGTGAAAACAACTTCTCCTCGTGGTGCACTATAAATGCCGGAGTTCTTCAAGGTGGTGTCTTTTCTCCTATTCTCGTCTCTATGTTTATAAATTATTTCACACAATCACTTTCTAGTTCCTATCACCTTTATGCTGATAATCTTCAAATTTATACCCAGGCATCGTTGACTAATCTTCCTGGTGAAGTGGCAGTTATCAATCCGACCACTCTAAAATTTATAATTGAAGTAAATCATTTGATCTTACTGTCAACCCTTCGAAGACTCAAACGCAATAATAATTGGCAGTCCTCATTTCGCGCAATTAGAGTATATTGGATGGGTCATGGTGGCCCCATACCGCGGCCGGCTAGGTCTCCGGTCCTTACACCCTGCGATTTTTTCTCATGGGGAGAAGTCAAATGCCGGGTGTATGTAAATGAGGCACAAAGCCTAAAAGACTTAAAAATAAATATTAATAACGTTTTTAGTAAACCGAAAAGTGTTTTAAATAAATTAAATGATAATTTAATGAAATGTGCACTTTTATGTCTGGAAAAAGGTGATTTCATTTTGAACAAATATTAAAATACAGTGATTAGTACATGGTAAGCAATTATTTTAATGAACAATTTTAATTAGGTATTATTTTTGATTGAACATTATTGTAAATACGTAGTTGATTCCAATTTTTTAAATAAGCCTTTACGCAGAAGTACCTATGTAACCTCGGCATAACGTTAATATTTTTTCTGGGTAACTAATTTGTTTCTCTTTTATTTTCTGCATTTTGATGGTCCTAAGCCCATAATAGTATGAAGGGAAAATTAGAATCTCCTCAGATCATGGCATTAATTCTAGTTCGAATCTAATAAAATGAGTGGTCAGTGATTCGTGTGGATAGATACCTACATACGTATGTACGGCATCGAGCGCGCGTTCAGAGCGCCTAGTGTAAGTTTTTTTGACGTTTACGTTCACTGTCGATCGTGAGCGCGTTTAGATTTTAGTATGGAATCCGGTACAGCGCTCCTATCGGTAACTACCAAGAACTACAAATTCTTAACGCGCTCACTAGAGAACACGTTACCGTAAGTCTTACACTTACCCCTCTGCTAACGCACGGCGCGCGGTGCCTATAAATTTAGTTTTAAAGTTTCGATCTTTAGTAAGCTATAACTTTACTTTTTAGCATTAGGACATATGAATATAAAAAACGCGTTTGTTTAAATTAGATGAAGTTTATTTTCACAAAACTTTCGCAATAGTTTTAAATTATTGCTGTACATAGGTAGTAGAAATTGTAATTTTTCTCTACTAGTTAGTTTTATCCAATGAGGAAGTATGTAAAAAAATAAATTAGTTCTTGAAATTAAACTAGATGTCACTAGCGATAATTGGATCTTGTCTATGAGATTCATTCAAATATTGTTTCTATCATAATAAACTAAGTGTCGAAAGTAAACTAAGTGTCGAAAATTGATAAATATGACATCGTTTCGTGTTTCTTATAATATCTAACTTTCAAAATTATTTTATTTTATTTGAATCGTAAGTTTAAGTTATCTATTATGTTACGTGTAAAGGAACGATGTTTGGTTTATATTTCAACATTAGTGATGAACCAACTTATTGGTTGCTCGTATCTTAAATTGAATCGATTCATCTGAATTCAGGTTTGGCATTAAGAACAAAAAGCCGAGCCATGGGCGCCGGCAGCACGGTGCAAGGGGTGCACTTGCACCTGCTATAAAAAAAATACCAGAAAATTATATTTTTTTTATTGAATTATTGTTTGAATAAAAACTGAAGTCGTCAAGGTTGCTGTCCAAATGTATTTATCACCTTCTCAATAAATTCGGTGTCTTCTTCTACTCTGTTCCTGTGAACACTGAGCATGCACAAGCTACTTAGCCTCGCGTCTCCCATCGTTTTTCGATTCCACGTCTTGACACGTCGTAACGTGCTAAATGTACGTTCAATACTACACGTTTTAATAATTTGGGTAGAAACAACATCACTACATACCTGGGCTGTCTGGTCTGTCTGTATTCAATTTGGATGTCTTAATATGAGATAAATTATCTTCATCGGAATGATGATTACGTTTTTTACACAAAAAACGTCTTATGTCACTCATAACTTGAATAAAAAGTAATAAGTTATCCAATAAATTGCCTAAAAACGACGATGAGTCACTGCTTATACAGATTTATTACAGAAAATTAATTTGCTCCTTATCGCCAAAGAACCGCAGTTATTAATAGATACAACTAAAATATTATGAAACATGAACTGACGCAATCGCAAGTAGGGAAACCCTCACATCCATTGCGTGGCAGCGGGGATTCCCCGAGTCATAATGCCAACCATCGACTACAGATAGCGTTTAAGCAGAAGAGAGGGAGATCAATTTACCCAAAACTATTTTACTAATTTTGTTTTACTCTAGCATTAGATCAAAGTTGTAACATTATTACGACATGTTGGTTTATTACATATAGTTACCAATATAAAAGTTAATTTTCTATAAAAAAAATGCAATGAAATTCACGTGTGATTTAAATTTTAAATTACACTCATTCTACATTCTATATATATTAGATCATAATAGTGTGTAGATGCAGATGCACCTCCCTGGAAATAATCCTGGCGGCGCCCATGAGCCGAGCGCTTAATTTAGCTTGTCTTTTTATGTGCCATGCTTCCACACGTCAAAGTCAAAATAACCGTTATTCAAATAAACTTCTTAAAAGTACTTTTGACTCGTCCAACATTTTTTCCCCCTACCACTTATTCAGGACGTCTTTTGGCTGATAAGAAGAACGAGCAAGAAACTCAAAGGTCTAATAGAATTAATGACATTCACAAAAACGATATCATTACCAGATCAATACATTATAAACAGAGAGAAAAAAAATGTGGTCTTAAAATGATAACATGATACTTTTATAATAATGAAAACAAGATAATTTTTGAGATATAATGATTTTAGAAGAAATCACCTATCCAGTTGCTGGACCATCTTAAGTCCAAGCATTCTTATGTTTTATAATCAGATACTTATGATAACTTTTGTATTTTTTTAATAGTAGAATTAAACTGAATGATTTCTAACTGTTGTATTTTGCTTGGGATCTTATTGTAGAAGCCACAGAAAAGAGGTAGAAGCGCACACAAAGACCCCTGAATGAATTATTAACAGTCGCCGTTAATTTATTTTTATTTCTTGTATTAAAATTGTGTACGTCAGTTTTTATAGAAAACAAACTAATATTTTTACGAACGTATATAAAATTCTCATATATGTTTTGAGAAGCAACAGTCATTATGAATGTATTCCTTAAATTTCTCTCTTAAAGTGTCTCTAATCCTAAGATTGATCTAATTGATCTTTTCTGAAACACAAAAATCGTTTGTATGTCGGCAGCATTTCCCCACAATAGAATTACGTACGACATTACACTATGAAAGTAACTAAAGTATACTAATCTGGCAGTATCTACGTATCTTCATTACGGCATATGCTACGTCCTCCATCGACATGTAAGTTCAGTAGCGATAGAATAATAACTGTACGCGTCTTTGTGATTTTGAAATAAATAACAATGCTGTTCGTCTCGATTGGACGTTTCTTGTTGATTGATGAGTTTTTATTAACATGATTTAATTATGAATATAAGATTTAATAACTGATCATAGTTTTTGAATTCTTAATTTTGAAAGGTAAACTTATTTGCATGTTATACTTTGCACAAACGTCATTCTAACCAGAAGCTATGTTATTTTGTACGAATACCTAGTATATTTGATACATATCTGGTAAGTATATAGATGATAGAAAGATTTTAGAAATGTTAGCGATTTTATTATGGTTTTTATCATCTTTGTTGCTGATTAATAAACCCTTAACATTCATTCACCACATATAATATTATTGAGACTTGATGTAATTTTGTTGTTGTAAGTTTAACAAACACCTAATAGCAACAAAACTAATTTACCTATTTGTTTTTGTTTTCAGATCTTTTGTTACATAATATAATGAAAAATTCCTATACTTTTAATACAGATAAGTAGAGTTTCGACATATCATTTATTTAAGTAATCATAAAAATAAAGAAATAAGCGACATAGATTAATGAATTGGAGTATTGAAGTGCATCTAGTAGTCATCATCATCATCATCGACCCTTTATTTCGTCCCATCTGCAGGGGCTCAGGCCTTCCTTATGGGTGGTTAAGGAGGATGGACAATGACCCTCCACGCTGGCCCATTGCGAATTGGAGGGTGTTAACGACTACAAATGCAGCCGGGACCAACGGCTTAACATGCCTTAACGTGCATCTAGTAGGAAGAGAATCAATTAGATTTGACTCGATAACTGGAGTGAGAGTACATAGAGACTCGAGTGATATTTTTTTTTCATCGAAGTACGAGATTGAGAAATTCACTTGGGCGACTCGAGTAAAAACAGGACTTGAGTCGCATCGCTAATAGGTATTGACTGACATTGACAGTTGATGAAGACTAGTTTAATACATTACTAATCTGTGGTTTAATACTGCTCTTTGAATTAGTTGTAGTCATATAGGTATTATTGTGGTTTAACAATAACAAAACGTCTCTTTACATTAGGATATAATCACAGATATTTGCTTTGTAATAAACAGAAATTTTACTGTACAATGTCTTTACAATTACCGGAGAATGTGCGGCAGGAACTAATTAAATCGGTACCATTGTCTACCATCGAACTGATAACATGTTTCGTTTTTTATGATAACCACCCTCGTGATGAAAAATGTCTCGATGTGATTGTGTGTACTACCGGTGGCAAAATCGTTGAATATTACAAACGCGAGGTTGTCTGTTCACTCAAGTTAAACACCACTACAACGGCTTCTGAAATAAAAATACTGAGGAATGATAATTGTGATCTCTTTTATATGGTAGTGGTAGGCGATGAAATTCTAATAATATCCAGAAAACAAAACCTTGACGTACATCGGCGAGTTTCTAATGTGGACAAGTACTATATTGAAGATCAATCATGCAGAGGTCAAGCGTGCCTCAAAGTAATCTGTAAGGATGATGCAGTGCCAATTGTTTTCGACGAAAACTTTGATGATTTAGGTAGGCGAGCGATGCTTCTTAGTGGGCTAAATGCTGATGATACTTTACCTATTTTAACACAACTTATGAGAAAATTAACTGAAGCTAAGTTTAGTGTCAAGTGTAATGAAAAAACTCTAAATGAATTATTAAGTTTGCGTCAAATGTCTGCTCTTTCATCTTATCAACAAGTATATCCAAATAGCAGAGAATCTATATTTCAGGGTAATTCTAAAGAGGTATGGGTCACTATAAACAGCTATGGATTATTTATAATCTTTAAAACTTGTTATATAGGTCTTTAATTATATTATTGTTTTTAATTTAAAGGTGCCAACAGATAATACATTGGATATAAAAACAAAGACACCCTGGGTGAAATTATGCAATAATAGAATTGTAATTATGCTAACACTGTGCTATACTTCAGATGAGTAAGTAATAATAATATCTTTGTAATGAGTAAAATTATCTTAGCAAAAAAAAATCCAATGTAAATTAAATCTTAAAGTCAGGATAAAAATTGCGAAGCTTATTATTGTTTTTTTAATAGTACAATGGTAACTACTCCAATGTGATTGGAACCTTAAAATGAAGGTTTGCTATATTACCTCAATGCTATTCGGACTCAATGATGGTTTGCTCTGTTTTGTTTCATATAATACAAAAAAATATTCTTATGGTAAAAACATGTTCATTAACATTCAGTTTTTTATTCTGTTTATTTACAAGTAAAACTTTGAAAAGCTTCGATTTTAATGCATTAATTTTTATAGTAGCTTCACAATTATTTCGAGTTTTGACAGTTTTTATAATCTCAAAACATTATTTACAAATTATAAATCTCCCTGGCCTCCAGATGCATAGATATTATTCTGTTTAATTCAAAAACTAATTAATATTATCACTAATGGTGGGTAGACATGACGTTTAGAAAATAAACATGTGACAGGTAAATCAATATATAGAAAGTGGATATGATTTTCTTACATTTAAATTTGGCAGAATAGTGAGAGATGCGCTGATAAGCCATTAATAAAAGAAGAAGAAGAAAAGAAGAAGAACATTTGAATTCTTAACAAATCATGACACAAATGTATATTGCTATAGTTTATAAATATATCTTATAAACATTATGATTTCAGACCTCTTGAAGATATTCATATTTTGTTGCATGGTACTGACAAACCCTCAATAACTTACACTACAAGACTATTTGAAAAGATTGAAACACCCCCATTTTGGAGAGAAAAAAGGACAAGAGTTATAAAAAACGATCACGAAATTGCTGTTACGGCAGTTGTTAACTTAGGAGAAATAAAAAATGTCACAACTAAAATAATAGAATTCAACGGAGCTATGTTTTATAAGAAAAGTGGTAAAGAATATTTACTTCCCATGGAACATGTTTCAATTTCTGGTGATGATATTATGGGGAAGGAATATGATGCACTTATGTGCAGTGATCTAGGTGAGTTTTACTCTTTTTTTATTGGTAATCTAATTTAACTTATACTTTAATTATAATGTAATTAAATATTTTTTTTCGTAACTCATAAAAGAAAAAAAAAACTTTACGTCTGTAATATTATTAATTATGTAATAAGTATTCTATAAATTGTATTCTCTTACAATTGCAGATGAAATGACCTGTCTTGCTATAGTAGCATCAACATCTAGTATTCAAATGGTATTTAGGCATATACGAAAAAATGATGATTTACCTATAGTAATGTCGGAAATATTTTGTACACATCTCCATATGAACATGTTACGGAATACAAACAATGTTATTATATATAGAAACTCTCCTTACCATGCCCTGAATGGCGTTATGCTTGTATTTGACAAAAATAATGAAAATGGAGATATCTATAATGTATCAGTTTACACCAGGTATTTTGTTGTTTGCCTATTATAGATTATATGTTGGGATACAGGCCCTTCCTGTGGATACATATGCATAATGGGCCATAAGGTATCATCCATCATTTAAGTAAAACAATTTATAGTTCATTAATATCCACAGACTGAGCATGCCAGACATGTGCTGGCATAGACAAAATGATAGTCTTCTATACAGTGCCTATTAAAGTATATATGTTTATAATAAGACAAAAGCACTGACACATACACTCAGCATACTCGGAGTATACATACACGGTTTATGTCTGTACTGTAATGCATTGCATAGATGAAATGGCTTCGGTGCCGTCATGTGTCCACAGCGCTCAATATCTATTGTTTTATTTAGAGTGAGAAGAATAGCGTGTGTGCGAACAAACAAAATTTGCCTTACAATCTACAAAACAAAAGTTTATTAAATTTATTTTAAATATTAATGAAGAAAAAATATTTTTTTTTTGGTTGGTGAAGGGTTCAAAAACAGATATAAATCATCTTACATAACAAATCTTATTAATTCAGTGAATATAAGTAAATTTTCACAGCTACAAATTAATAATGATACTTGATAAGATACCTTCGTTACTTATTGAACTATGTCTTTAATAATAGTGTATCATCCATCAATGCTAAATCTTCAAGACCTTTTTCTTTATTATGACCAACATATTGACTATGGCTAAAAATACTAAAATAATCTATATATTTAAATTAATATTTTCAGGTCACCATCTCAAATCCTCACACTAATGTATTATGTCCATACCACAATACCATACCAAATAGTAATCACTACTACAAGTCAAAGGATTATGGCAAGGAAAGATGAATTAGCAAGGTACAACGAAGCTCAGGTTTTGGAGCTGTCAAATTTAAACTATCAAGCTTATGGATCGTCTATTGTAAATCAATGCAATATGTTACTGGAATATTTTGATACTTGTATGATGAAAATGGGTTCCAGTGGAGATACAGATGTGGCCGGTAAGATTGGTACTGTGATAGACATGTTCGCGCCGGGTCTGACCGTTTATAATGAATTTAGAGAAAATATACTTAATGAAGCTTCCAAGGGAATAAAAAGTTATATCGATTCGGAGAATGGATCAGAGAGAATGATAATATGAAATTTCATCAAGTAAGTATAAGTATATATGTTGCATTTTGAAAGCTGAAGAATCTCATAGCAAATTAATGCAAATCAATGAACAATATAATTTCTAAGTTCAAATTGTTTTAAATCTAAAAAAATTATAATATGATAGCATTGTTAGATCAAAGAATAGTTTGTTTATGTACCTATTTATTTAAATTGCATGAAGACTGAATAATATAAACGATTTTATTGTGATGGCAGCTATTTTTTTACAAAAATAAAATAAAAAGCTATAATATCCAAGTCTTTATTTTAAATAAAAAAATGGTTTCCATTATTTTTAAATTCGCATATATTCTTTTTTTATTTAAATAAAATAATGTTATAATTATGAGCAAAAAACTTATTTTTAAATATAAATTCCTTTTTTAAATAATATAAAATAAACACAGAACTAAAGGCCATATTCTATGAATACTGGCTGTAAAGATATACATTACACAACCATAAGTTATTTCTTAAAAAAATATTTTATTTTATACTGAGCAATCATTATTACCACCTATTCTAAATTAATCTTTAACATATTACACATATGTCCTGTTTTACTACAGTAAAAACATTTCATTTTACATTATTATGTAACTAACGACAAATACCCGGTTTTCCATCTTCGTGATATCTTAGCACCATTATTGTCAGCTATTACCTAAATTAAATACAAACAAATGTGTACCTATTTATATATTTACAAACACACTACTATTAGCCCACACACCGAAATCATTGACTTTTGGCAACAAACAATCTGCAAACATGTTTCCGGTTATCTTAAAAAAGCTTTAGCTTGATATGGCGTTGCAATCATCTCTTTTATTTTACCCTAAATAGTTTTCAGCGTGCCAATATCCGAGGCTTTTGAAGAGCATTATGATACTTTCATTGTATCATAATTATGCTTTGCCATACCGCGCTATTCAAGTTAGATGAAAAATGTTTAGAGTTATAAAAGATATCTACACCACAATTTTGACGGAGTGTTAGCTTGATTGTTTGTTTTCAACCAAATAGTAAGCCGTAACCGAAATTCGCAGACGAGGAGATTTTGATTTTCCTTTTTTTTAACAAAGATATATCTTACTGATCCATACACCCTGTCGCTGTATTTTAAAGCTATAGTTAGCTACACAGTTTGGTTTACTCTTACGGTAATTAGACTGAGGGCTAGGGTGCACTATATTAGAAAAAAATATTAATTTCTTCACTAACAGTATCTGTTCTCTATGATACTTTTTTGGTGTACATATACTATGTGTATAATAGATACTCTAATATCGATTATATATAAAAATATAGACAATGCAGTTTTAAGATATTCAGCGAGATATATGTCGTGTTAACCTCCTGTCTGCGCTATATTGTCAGGTACTAGGAAGCCCAAAGCTGCCTGACTCTATCAATATTTACAATTAAAATTGTTTAACTAAAATTATTATAAAATATACTATAAATAGTAAATATTTCTACGAACGGCTGTAGACTATTAATTTAGTAATGTTAGTAATGCGGAACAACCCTTAGCGAGCTAAATGTTTGTGAAAAAAGAGATTACAATAGAAATGCTATCTACCAAAGACAATATTAATACAATATACTTGATTTGATTCACAGCTTCGATATTATCTTTAACATTATTTAAATATATAATTGTTGCTATAAACTAGTGCCTCTAATATGTAATTATCCGAACATTGTGTTTCGACTTTCAAATATCAAAATTAAGCCCTGGTTAATCTCAACTATGTACTTACATTTTGCCATTGTACTATTCACCTGAAGTGCAATATTATATATCTGACACTGTTGATTTGCGAGGAAGACATAGCAGTAATAAATGCAAGTAGTTGAGATTATATTGAGATCCTATAATTAAGGAAAAAAGAGCAGAATTGCCCTACAGGATTGGTCTCGGATTAAACAGACCAATTGTGATTGGTCAGTGATCGTTTGAAAGTTATAACACGACGTGCTTAAAGTTACGCGGAAGCACCACAGGTCGTTACTTACAGCACATTACTATATTTTTTTTACTATAAATGTTTAACTTAATTTATAACACGTAAGAATTAAAGTTGGTTGGAGAAGTTTGAGAGGTTCGTGTAACCTAATGTCCTGTTATTACTATTTATATCCGATAAATATAGCATTTTGAATGCAAAATTTATCAACAATAATTCTTTAATTTATTTATAAATTAATACTTATTTATTTTTCACAGTTTAGTATGTCTAAGCCAACCTAATTATATACTAACTTAAAAACAATATTACTAAATAAAATATAACTTTATATAAGTCAGTTACTTATTAAATAATTAGAATATTAATATTGCATTGCACAACCGGCCATTTATTCTTATTTTATCAATAGATATCTTATTGTAAAGGATTTAGATATAAACATTATAAAATATTAGCTACTTAAAAATCTATTGCACATTCTATTGCACACTTAGTTAACTTTATTGCACAGTTTTTTTTTTATATAACTTATGTTCTAAATGTATTTGCTATAAAATTTCTCTTTTGTTGGAATGTTTTAATGTTCTACTACTGCTTCTTACACTTTTTGTGTCCACGCAGGCACTAACACAACAACTGTCTACATTTACCTGTGACTTTCTAAAACTGCCGAAGTAAACTGAATGTGTTTCTATACTCTCAGCTCCAGATTCACTTCTAGCTTCATTTTCAGTGTCATCACTTTCACTGCAACTTACTATTTTAGGAATCACTAGTTTTCTTTGAATTTGCCTCGAACTAGTCGAGTCACTACTCAAATAACCGGAATCTTCTACGCTGGGACCCTTCTTTCTTCTAAATCGTGATTTACCATGACTTTCATCTTTTATACCCTTGATAAACGTGTTTGTATTTATAGAGCACCTTCCGAATCTTCTATTTGATTTTCTGCTGAAATCTTGAGATCTAAATGATTGACGTATGGAATTATCATTACTATATTCCGAGGATTGAGACAGGCCAGAAGCTCTCATCGGACCGCAAGAGGGTCCATATATTGTTTCACAAAATATTGGATTATTACAAATAGTGGAATCAACTGTTGTAGATTGGTGCAATGTCCTCGGATTGAGGCTTCTGCCACTCACGTTTTTTGGATGAGGAGAGATTGGTAATTTGTTTGTTTCAACTTTTCTGGGTGGTATAATAGGTTGTTCGTATATCGGACTGTCTTCAGTGGGAGGTAGAGGTGGCAAAATATCAGGCCTTGCTAAACTTTTCAATTGTTTGATTGTCGGTGGTGTAGACTGTCGTTGCCTTTTTGAATGACGGAGCTCTAATGTTAATATTCGTCCTTCTTCACTGTTCCATTCTGCCGGATCATTTTCCCACGTAAGTTCAGTTACTTCTGTGCTGTTATTGTCTTGGAATGTAGTCGGCAATAATTTTGGTCTATCGTTGCAATTTTTCCGTTGTTCATATTCATTTCTTAAACTGTTAAATTTAGCTGTGTATTCCACTTTATTATTGGCCTTTGTAAATGTGCCACTACTCCGTAATTGAATTCTTCGGTCTGACTGATTTTCAACACCGGTATTAAACGTTTTGATAAAATCTTTTCTACTGAAATTAATGTCATCCGCAGTTTCTTTATATTTTGACTGTTTCCTGTCTAATGTGTCAGGCTCAAAACCATCAGATTCGTGTATTTTAATATAGTTTTCAGGTGAGTCTTTAACTTCTATTGTCAAGCATCCTGGTTTCTCTTCACTATCTTTGCTGGTTGCTACAAATTTTCTACTACCCATCGAACACTCAGAGCCACTGGGAGAGGTAGGTGTACTCCCAAAATTGTAGTTATTATTTACATAAACCTCACTCACTAAACTGTAATCTGTGTTTCTATTTGTAATGGCGCTTTTACCTTTTTTGACAACTGTGTTTGACTTACCAATCGTTTCGTAATAATTTTCGTCTATAACAACTTCACGGTGTGGTGATGGGGTGTTACTGTTGCTGCTAGAATGTGTCTTATACACAGCATTTGTCATTGTAAGTTCTTCTTCTAATGGTAATGCATTACTCAAACTTGGGCTAGCTTGAGATGATGGTATATCGGGATATTCGGTGGGCGTTGATATTCTTTTTTGGTTACAGTTTCTTTCTAAACTGTCAGTTTCATATTCGTTACCTGAAAGACTAGCTGAACTGTTTCTTGTATATAAATTGGGATGTTCCATTTTTGTAGATTTATTATATTTTTCTTCATCAGAACTACTTTGACTATATATTTTTGAACGGTGATCTAGGGTCATAGTATCGTTAACCATATCAGGTAAACCGTTTTGATTGGGTATGACTCTTTGTTTATGGTTAACAGAACTTCGTAAACTCCCTGGACGATAGTCACTAAGTCCAATTGGTCTGATGTCATCCACTCTAGATACAGTTTGGCAATGGTTATTGTTTTTATGGTTATGGAAGCAATTCGCGTTTTCGAATTCGGGTAAAGGTAGATTATAACTTCGTAAAGGTGGTTCTGATCGGACGGATATATTTGAGGATTTTTTCGATGTAGATGAATGTTCTCTAGTGCACATAGAGTTTGAAGCTGTAAAGCTATTTTGTTTTCTTAGTTTATTTCGATTATCATTACATGGAAGTAATAAAAAGTTGTCTGTATTTTTTGAAGTCTCGCTGTGGGATGGTTGTTGTTTTCCAATAGGTATGTTTTCCAACCATTGCCTTATACTGTTTTGTTTATCACCTCTATGATGTTGACAGTTAGAACATGCACTCATATTGAATTTCATATAGTTAAGTATATCTTTGTCATTGTCAGATTTGCATCCCGGGCAACCTACGCAGGTAACACTTTTTTTCCTATTATTTTCTCTTTTAAGACTAATGACACTTCCGCTCCTCTGACTTCCTAGACCTTGATAAATGTCTATACTGTTAGAAGTAGATGGATATGTTTCTTCTTCGGGTATTTCATTTAGAACTGGATGGAAACGTTTTGCAGCCATTTTGTGTTTCGCAATTGAAATAACTTCTCTTATTTTCACGAGAAATTCCAAAGCTGCTGGAGGAGGTTCCTAAAACAGTGAATTGATTGAAGAGATTTTGATAATTAGAATATATTATTTTATAAAATGTTTAATTAACGAACATAATTGGTAATACGTACTGCCATTAGTTGGGGTTCAAAGTAGGCTGGATTAAAATAAAGCTTGCGTCTTGTGGTGCCAACTGGACGTGCTATTTCACGATCGTCTGTTGTTTCTACAATCGAAACATGTTCGTCGGGAAGCCGTTCGATTCCAGATTCGTCGCGATGTGAGAGTTCTGTACCATTTTGATGTTTCAACTCGCTACGATGTAGGTGTACAACTGCGGATGTTATTTGGTTCTGGAATAAATATCTGTTATTAAAAAGACTTTAAATGTAGAGATGAGAAGCTTTTTAATATATGCTTATGTAGAAAGTGATATGATAAGTTAATGAAGTGGTAAGACTAAATTATAAAATATTTTATAATAAATATAAACTTGATATTTCTGGTTATTATAATATTGGATGGAAACTATTTTCAATACATTATTTATTATAATAAGTTTTCTCACATTGTATAAGTTAGTGTCGTCGCTTCTGGCACTACTCTCCGCGAAGTCTTCAGAATCAGACAAATTACTACCAGAATCACTGGGGAAACTTTTGCTTTCATGGAATTGTCGAGTTATATTCAAAAGTGGGTTTTTCTTGACTACTCCTTCATCTTGAGTAATGGCGTTACTGATTGGCTGCATCCGTTCATTGGTTACTCTTATTATGTCTCTTTCTGTTATTATAGAGCCGTCCTTTTTCTTCAAGCCTTTAATTCTTTTAGTACTGCCTTCGTTAGAGGCTGCCTTCTTTCGTTTTCTTATGTGCAGATAGAGGAAAACGGATGCAACGTAGATTAGTCCTAGAAGTAACGAGCTGAGACCGATGGCGACGTATTCAGTAACAGAGAGACCTGATGTGCTCGATGCTTCTGAAGTTTGCGCGTTAGACGCAAACTGAACTTCTGTGACATCTAAAAAAGATAATATGACATTATTCATTTGTAGAAGTTTCCATGTTGATAAATAAAATATAATATTTATGTTTATTTTTATTATTATTTTCGAGATCATAGAGATACATAATATAGATGCTACCAGTAGCTTGATATGTCTTCCTAAACACGGAGGAGCACGAGATAATTTATTTTTGAACATGATCTGATGAGCGACCTTTGAGAGAATTACCAAATTTTGCATTCACATCGATCTTTGCTAAATCAATAGTTACCATCAAATCATTATTAAAATCATCAACCTATTTATGTCCCTACTCATGCTGGGCCCCATGAGTAGGAACATAAATAGGTCTTCCCTATGGTTGGACTAATTACGAAGAACGAACCGTAATCCACCATGCAGGCTCAGTGCAGATATGTGATTGTATATTTAACCAAGATTAACGGTATAAAGTGCACAGAAGCATGGAGGATCTTGAGATAATAAATTTTTGTTCACCTTTCAACCAACCCCTGTGGAAGTTGCATCACCTCCGCATCGCATAACAAATGCACTAACCTACTGCGCTTTGCAGGCCAATGTATAAATTATTAATATTACCTACTTATTATTAGTTTGAATATAATGATACGAACTTAATGATTGCCTCGGTGGAGTCCCTTGTACCCTGAAAGCTACACACGGCGTGAATACCCCTCGCAAGTCTAGAGGCGAGGTGGGAGTCGCTGACACATCGCGACACAGCAACCTGACCACCATAACACGACCCGCCATGCGTGTACGCACTTCGTCCTCGCCACTCCACTATAATCAGTAAAACGTGACATATTAATAATTATTTTGATGCATATACTAACCATAGTTTTAATCCTATTAAACTGCGATTTCGATTCTGCAAATAAATTAGATGATAGAATAAAAAACAATAAGTACCACAGAGGAGTATAATTGGCTACTGAACTGTTCTTATTTTAAAGCTTTTATATGATCATATTAAACCACTATCGGACTTAGTTTGTGTGTTATTGAATATAATATTTTTTTATTATTAATTTAAATTGCTCCGCGGAAACGATCAGTCACGTGATATTTCGAGTTGTGACGTCTCATTGCAACATTGCAATAAACGCGAGTATTGATTGCACTCTCAACAAAAGAATCCACTGATAGTCACAAGTAAATTTTTCAAAAAAAAAAACAAAATATACTTACAATTTATTTTAACACAAAAATTACTTACATTGTTGAAACTATAGTTGTACCATTATATATAAGTTACTAGTTTCAACATATTTTATAATTTATTTAGCCTTTAAATACCTGGAGAAATGTCCTGCCTTCATCTCTGAACAGGTTGAATGGCACGTCAGCGTCAAGCGTGTTCCGAAGGTCGAGGAACCCTTTCCTTGTAAGGAACTGTGCCCCCGATACTGCACAGATTGGCGTTTTTACATCTGGAAGTTGCAAAACGTAAATATATTATTTACTAGTTATGTTACCGTGATTATAGGCTATGTCACCTACGCCTACATCATACGCATCATGTAGCTTGTCGTAAATGAAATAATTTTAATGATTGGTTCAGTATTTCCAAAGATAATGGGAAGTGATAAAAATATAATAGATAAATACACATTATTATCGTCACCAGTTTCCCCGTCTGCAACGTCACAGACTTTTACATGCAGAGAACAAGTCATAAATTACCACATCGGCTCAATGCGGATTGCTGGGTATGGGAATTACATATGCAATAAGGTATTGGCACTAACACTCCATTTCAAGCTGTTGGGAGCACCTTTATCGTACAAAAGATTCTTAAAAGTAAATACTTAAGTAAGAACCATTAGGCTAAAGGTGTGGTCCTGCTGGATGATGGAAACAACTTCCCTCCTCTGTCTCTCAATTGTCTCCCTCCGAGCTAGATGTTGTTAGCCCGGGGACCGCGGTCCTATCGATGTAGGTTGGACGTTCTATTGATGCTAATTGGTAATAACACTTATTGTCGGCGATATAGGTTTCTTAATTTATAATTATTGTATTGGTACAGCACCATCTCGTTACTGGGTGTTGAAACTTCTTGCAGTTCGACTTACTATCGATTGCTGTGATGAAGCTAGTCTTCTCGCTATCGATTGTTGTGGCGATGTTAGTGCGATGAGTTATATGTCGTTACGTATCAGTCGCCACACACACAAAGAAGACTTAAATTAAGTTATAGATCCTTAAAATTTAATACTCGCAAGAAGAGAAGGAAAAAAAAAAATATTTTTTTAAGTGACGTCTGCTTGTAAATATAGTAAGCACTAGCTATCCCTAGTGGTCGCTAGGGAAATATTTAGTGGGATAAAAAGTATCCTATTATGAAAGTCAGCTAATACCCTATCTGTATACCAAATTTCATCAAAATCCGTTCATTAGTTTCGGCGTGATTGACCAACAAACATCCAAACAAAGAAACTTTCACATTTATAATATTAATAGGATAATAGGATTACATCGTCAGGATTATTTTCCTGTAAGAATACAGAATATTTGAAATAACACATAAAGCTACATAAAAAATATACTAAATCGCTACGAAACATTAAAATATATTGTCTAGCAGCTGTTTGTTTCGGAGCTGTGGCTCTGCCTCGTAACCGAAGCCCTGATTAATCTGTGAAAATGTGGCTCTGTAGTTAGCAGACCAATCAGGTAATAATAGCCTAATCAATCAAGTTTAAGTACATAACCATTATGTGTACTGCAAGGAATCAAATTTGGTACCACAATTATTTGACAAAATCTACCATTTTTAATATAAGAATAAATTTAGAAAATTTCAAGGTGTTTTTTAACCATAGTATCTATTGGTATGAAATAAGACAATATTAAAATTTGCAATAAAATAATTTTGCTTGTTAATAGTAAATGGCCATCTTTCACTATTAGACTCTACTAACCTTGAAAAGTTATCTCTTTAGAAGGATGTATTATCTGTCCTTTTAGCGGCAAGTATACAAATGGTATTCGCTGCAGACCAGACCCTGTCCCGAAAGTAGCCAAGGAGCATTCTGGAAGAAACGAAATGAACATGCTTAATATTCGTCGATGCTAAAGTGAGAAACATTTTTAGGGTCCCGTACCCAATGGGGAAAACGGGAACCCTATTACTAAGACTTCGCTGTTTGTCTGTTACCAGGCTCTATCTCATGAACCAACAACAATGAATAAGATGATGTATTTCTGTTGCCGATTCAACAACAAATACTAAAAAATAAAATAAAATAAATATTTAAGGGAGCTCCCATACAAAAAAGGTTTGCGGTACGGAGTATCTAAGGAGTTTTTTTGTCATTGGCAAAATTACGCTCTTTAATCGGTGTCACTAGATCAGTATTATATTTCTCTAGGGTGCCAAGTTCTAGTGTTTTGCCTAGAGCGCCAAGTTGCTGTGTTTTGCCTTGGGCACCAAGTTCTATTGAGCTTGCACTGTCTATACTTCAAAAAGAAAAAGACTGTACCCGTGTGTCTATCTTCGTAGGTGGTGAGTATGAGTTGTATGTTAAGAAAGAGAAGCTCTAAAAGTCTCGAAATTGACTTAAGTAGCATACAACTTCATAATCGCTCATAACGCGATTTGTATTTTTTTATAGTTGCCCCTATTTAGGGACGCTGTGCTGGTCTCTAGTTTTCTATAGTAATATATTACACGTTCACGATCGGACGGGTATGTCAATGTCAAAAAATTAATATAAAGTATACCTACATCAATTTGCAATTACTAATTCTTGAAAACCAATTGAGGTTCTTTATGTTCTCCAGAATATGATTTAAATAAAAGTCTTTATGAATTGCCGAAGAGTGTTTAAAATAAATATTTGTCAAATTCGTTACGGTACCATCGAATCTTGTAACATATTATGGCTACAAAATAAACTCCATAACAAATGAAACATTTGTAAGGGAATTAAGACTGACACCGTTTAATAAGCTAATTTGGAAAGTGAGGTAAGCTTATTTTGTATTATTCAGTATTAACGTCGCGAATGCAACCAAAGTTTGATACCAAAACTGGTGAAAAATGCGCATTATAAGGATTACCCTTAATTTGCTCGTATATCAGACTCTGGGACTAAGGCAGAACTACATGTTATCTTGACTTTCGGTAGAACTTACAGTAGGTATAAGCGCATATACATTGGCATACACAATGTCTGAAAGTAAAAAGGATAGAAGTCTGACCACAGCGATGATATCAAGACCAAATGAAATGATTATGAATATGTATGATTCGGCAATCGGTATATTAATTTGATTTGATTTGAAATATCTAGATTTAACGGTCACTGGTCGTACATAGATTAATGTGCGTGTACCTTACATGAAAGAGACGAATACGTTTGAGATGTACGGCTGGCAAACGGAATATTAAGTACGTAAATCGAAACCGAATCTTGACATAATTCCCTTGTAAGAATCATTATGAAAGGGTTTAAATCAAAATGAAAGTCACATTACATAATTTATTTTAATTATAATTTCTTATTAAATATGACAACTATCTTCTCTTTTTACGTACACTATTTGTTCTTTAATCTTTGCATAAGTTTACATAAATAAGTATTAATATTACTATTCATTATGTAAAAATTCTAAGACCTGTACCGGTAGGTACCTGTATTCGTAATTGAAATGGTAAAAATGTGTGATGTTTGCTTACTTACTTTCTTAGTCTATGGAGAAACTTGTTACAATGACGCTAGTAAAATTACGGTGCGGATAATTTATTTAAGACTGTTCAGAAGAGACGACTTCGCCGCGAATTCAGACTAGATGAGAAATATATTGCCGCAAATATCTATAAATATATTATACCATAAGCTATCATTTAATTAATAACCTACAGATAGCCTCCACCAGACTTCAATAGCATTTCCTCGAATAAATAAATTGCTTTTAAATTATGTATTATCTCTCACTATTTTAATATTTGAAGTCTATTATTTGGAATAAAAAATATTATTAACCCACCAGAAATCGAACCTTGAAACCCAAAATGTTGGAGACATTTCTACCGTAGCGACTATAATAAACTAAAGCTATGTCTTAAAACATTACATGGCGTATTTAATATTTGTCAATACTTTCAGTGTAGAATGAAGCTTCATTACGTCATATGATTACGCTTTGCTCATGTTCGCTTTCTGGCAGATCCGGCAGTTGTCATAGAAGAGTATTGTAGCCGCACCGCATATTGTAAGCTATTGAGGAGTCAACTCGCACATAAAAGCTCTCAAAGAAGTAATTATTACAGAGACTAGCTATAGTTAATAGAGACAGTACTCACTCAGGCAGAGTCCAGAAAAAGGTAAAAAGAAAGCTCTCCAACTACAGAGTTCTGCTGTTCTAACTAAAAAATGAATAGCTGATTAAGAAAAGAGGTCGGTTGTTAGTTAGAAATTAGAAAAATAATTCGTGGGGATGTTTTTGTTCTATTAATACAATTTAAATAAAAAAGTCATGTATTGTTTGCAGTACTGGCGGTTCGAGTGTGTAATTGAAAGACTGGCTACTATTATCATGTATTTAATTACGCTCTATTTAGAGATGACTGTGTGTATGTGCATATATTATAGTACTCACACTACAGTTGTTAAACATCTGTATTATTTGTTGTTCATTGATGAGACTAATTTATACTAACTTCCTAGATATAAAATACACTAATTTAACGGTGTCCAATACAAGTGTATGCGTTACTGTACAGTGTACACAGCATTGTTGAGTGTAGTATGTAATTATTACTTATGTGGTTGGAACAGTTACTCTCGTTTTTACCTGGTAGCAAACAAGTGGAGCAATTTCGCTTGGTGGCTATAACAACTAGGGATGAGTATTATGTGGAAACGTAACGGGTCTCGTGGCTGTAATTATTGGCTGCTCACTCAAAGGTGTTCCAAGATTGGATACTCGTATTTAGGTTAATAACCATTTAAATAAAACACAATTATATGTAAGTAGTTATATATTTGAACCGTTCTTTTTAATGATTACAGTTATCTATGTTTAGAAGTTTTTGGGATACTATGATACCTTTTTTATTTCTGCCCACAGTTTATATAGTTTATAAGAATTTGGGATTTTATCTCCGGAAAACTGCTTTCGCAGACTATTATTTTCCAACTCGAATATATTTTCTAGCTCATGTCTATTTTAAAAATACAAGTGTCTAAAAATATACTTTATCATCATCATCATCACCAGCCCTTTTACGTCCCACTGCAGGGGCTCAGGCCTTCCTTATGGATGGTTAAGGAGGATGGGCCACGACCCTCCATGCTGGCCCAATGCGGATTGGAGGGTATTAACAACTGCAAATGCAACCAGGACCCACGGTTTAACGTGCCTTCCGAAGCACGGAGTAGCTCGAGATAATAGTTTTAGTTTAGTTGCTTAACGACTACGATCGCGGGCCGCGGCGCTTATCCTCTACGCCACCGAGCTACTTAACATACTTTATAATTATACCGAAATCCATTCTGTATGATCTTGGTAAGAGTATTATTTAAGATGCTTTTTATTATTCTACTCGTTGCCTACTGATTTAAGTTTGGCCCCTTTCACTACATATCTAGGTACTGTTTTGCTGAATGTAAGTTTTATTCATAATTAGCCTATTCGCTGGGTGTATATATATATTTTTTTTATGGGATAGGGAGCAGACGAGCAGACGGTTCACCTGATGGTAAGTGATTACCGTCGCCCATGGACACCTGCAACACCGGAGGGGCTACAAGCGCGCTGCCGGCCTTAGAGGGAAGGGTTGAGGGGTAGAGGGAAGGGAATAGGAAGGGGTTGGGCCTCCGGTACCCTCACTCACACGACGAAACACAACGCAAGCGTTGCTTCACGTCGGTTTTCTGTGAGGCCGTGGTATCACTCCGGTCGAGCCGGCCCATTCATGCCGAAGGGTGGCTCTCCCACGGACTATACCACGGTATATGTTTTTTAATAATATAAGGCTATTATATCTACAACTCTCCACTATTTGGGTATTGTGTTGTAACATCTGGGTCTAATTGTAACACCTTGATAGTACCGACGCATTATCTCGCAGGGTACTTATCTATATTTCTGCTTCTCGATCAGTAGATAAAACAGACAAAAGAAGATTACTTACCAGGTAAGTCGTCAACACAGAGCTCCCTGTCTTCTCTGAAGAGTGGTGCACGTTGTGGACAAGAGCATGAGCATCCTTCTGAGGTATCGGATGTCACTCTCGCGCCGTGCTCTGCGCATTGAGCTGGTCCGCATTCTTTATCTAGAACAATAGTGTTGAAATCATATTTAATAAAATAAGGAATTATTATACAAAGTGTGTTGGTAGATTTTTAGCGAGTAGTTTTTTATTCCAATTGGAAGAAAAACCGGTGTCCGTCGGGTTCATATTTAAGTTTGGTTACGGGACCTCCATATATGTATACTCTGCTGAAGATACTAGAGTTAAATTAAAAAATATTTTTAACGCTTCAATCAATCCGAAGTAGCGTACCTGTAAAGAGCGTCATGAATTATCCAAAACTTTGTTTATGGACTTGAAGTGTGTTGTTTAATGCTTCTTTCAAATGTGAGTTATAAAATACACTGGCAAGTGCTATCAAGCTTTGGGTGGTTGCCTTCCGCGGGGGCAATCGGTGGCGCACGCAAAAGGGGCACCTTAATAGAGACCCAAACCGGGGTTGGGTCCGGAGGTCTCCTTGCAGAATCCCTGTCAGTGAGGGTTATTTATAATACATCAAGTTTTTAAATACTTTTAGGCATTGATACTTCTTGGACCCGCGCAATTTAAATATTCATAACATGTCGATGATCATTAGTACTTTGTTTATGATCATAATCGACCTTATGTCAATAGTGTATAAGTTTTTTACCGAATAAAGTGAATACGTCGCCGGTGTCCCGGCGCGCGAGGTCTCCAAGCCGCGCGCCGGTGGCTGTCGCTAGAAGCACCAGCAGCGCGGCGGCCATACTACCCCACGCTGAATGCATCTGACCACTCCTGCCGCTTGCGCATCTTTGATGACGACACCTGCATAAAGGAAAAACAAAGAAAGCGTATTAACTCAATGTGTTAATTTAAACTCCTTGGCTTCCTTGTGAAGGTAAAATTTACGCCTGTCGAATTCTAAGATCGTTATCTAGGTATAAAAAACATGTTTGTCTGAAAATTAATGCGTTACTTGGAGGGGTCTAGGGCCTGACTTCCTTATTCAAATCTAAAACCATACTATTGCTATAGAGGTAAAAACGTTTGATTTTTGGTTTAGTTATAATGGTACAACATATTTGGCACTAGTTTCTATGTTTAAACCAAAATTAACATACGGAGTAAAAGTTCAATTCGCACTCATTGTTTAACATAGTTTTCAAATTATTATTTTTCTACAATTCACCAGAAAGAAGCGCATCTAATAGCCCAATTGTGAGTTCATAGGTGATATTATGATTAAATTTACATTTGTATGACATATGAATGAAAGCAGTAATTGCTATGGTATAAATAAGAAAAAACACGGTGAAAGCTTGCGTTGCGTTGCAAAAATTCATTAGCATTGTTCGATGTTCGATTTCACTATTTGCGATGTTCACATGTTTTCCAAAGAAGCGCTAGTTTTTATATAATATAGTTCAAAAGTGGACCTACTTTTTAGTGACAATAGAATCTTAATTTAGGGCATAACAGAATAGGTAAATAGATATCCTACTCCAATATACCTACCTTGTAGACAAAGTCTTCATATGTTTTATAGTACTCAAGATTATCTTGGATGGTTTATAAGTAGCATCCTAAAGTCATCTAATTTAAATTTCCCGCGATGGTTTTGCAATCCTTAGATTTAGACTCGTTTGCACTGCGTGGCGAAAACCTGTTTTTCATTGTGAAACGAAGAAATAATTGGTAAATTTTTCTGTTTTTAAACTGAATTGTCCTCAGTTTCCATTTTTACATCCCAATTTTTGAAAGTTAGTGTTGACAAAAAATGAATGAACAAAGAAATAGGCAACACCGGCTTAACGAAAGTTGGCGTCCTAGGCAAAACAATAGAACGACGCCTATAAAAAAATCACAACAATATAAGACTAATTTACGTACACCAATCGAAGAGTGTAATCTAGCCAAGACAAAAGAAACTCCTTAGCTACAGCTGGTCTGAACTTTAAATATCGCGGACATGGACTCATGTTGAAAGAACAAAAGTAATGTTTTGTAAGTACGATACATACTGCATTTTTAAGTTTCATGTAATTAAAGCAAATATAAACAGTCATCATATTAAATATGGGATACGTCATAACTCAATTGATTGATTGATTTAAAATTTTTATTGAATCTGAAATTGCTAATCAATTAGTCAATTTCGCAGATGGAATATTTTTTTTTCCGATCATAAAAATATGAATAAATCTCTAACCGGATAAATTATATCTATATATTGAGTGTGTCAATTGGTTCTATCGGCGATCGTTACTTTTTGTCACATTTAAGTCAAGTTTGTTATACTAGATGGCTCGCGCCAAATGTTTGCTTATCGTAATGTTTCCGTGCCCAACATCATTTGGTAGGTGTTTACTTAACTGTTTTGTTCAAACAAGACACTTAAACGAAAACGGTTTAAGATATTATTGAAGTGACAATATCTTACGGTGTAACGATGTAGACAAACTGGGGTCCTACTATCAGTTTCAATGCGATGCGTTAGACGTCGGAAAGACTACTTCTTTGTATAGATTTTTTTTAATTGAAATTGATAATTATAACAATAAAAAGAGCTACTAGGTTCTTGATTGTAGTCAAAAAAAGATCATTTTAAATTACATGTTAAGTTAAAATTATCTTGTAATGTCATTCGATGGGGTTTGAAATAAGTTTTCTGTCTTAATCGCATCTGTCACCCCTAGGATTCGTTACATAAATAATATTCGTTTGTGAAGTCATTCTATTTAATTGAGAAATAAAATTTATTTCTCAGTAAATGAGATATGTAAATAAACCATAAATATTTTTTACTAATTGCTTCCATTTTCTGGTCAGTTTCATTTCCAGTTCCCATCCATATTATCGTAGTAGAAGTGGGATAGCGATATACATGTATAACAGTATCTCGCTTTAAAACGGCATTTGCAGAGCGAGAGTTTATATCAAATTGATGGTAAAAAAACCAAGATAGTGCAAACTGTCATTTAAACTACCTCTTATAAAGTCTACATCATGTGTCTAAGACGTCTTACAAGCTTTTTTGATCTTAATTTTATCAAACTTTTTCTGAATTGTTTACTTTTTGTATAATGAAAATCGATTATTGTGTTAGTATACTCGTAACTGAATTGGGTAATTGAGAATAATTAACTCTTGCCACACAATTTAGGCTCGTTTTTTAAGTCGAATAGTATCTCGATTTAGTCTCCTTGTTTCTTTGCCACTCGTGGTAAGCGCCCTGAGTCGCTGGTGGGCCAGACCTCCTTATCGCACGGAGTCGATCAATTCTCAGAATATAGGTTTCTAACAACATTAGCGTCAGGTTGATGCATTGATGATCCATTATCTCTTTGCTATTTATTACAATTTGAAGCTACGCTATATTAATGATGAGTCAATGCGAGTTTTTGAAGCAAGGAGATTGATCAACAAAAGAATTTTGTTTTATTGTATAAATCATATTACATAATAAGCTATTTTCAAACTCAAAATATGTTTCAGTGTATCTATTAGGAAATAAAAAGGATAAATGATTCAATTTACTTATGCTTGATCTTCAATGACTCGAAGAGTATCAATGTCACGATCGATATCTATAGTAATTTTATACGTGATTTTGCATACACCTTAATGGATATTCGAGTAGGTAATGTTCATGTGCTGTTATGTACGGTCATCATATACATTTTAGCGTTTAATGATGGTAAAAGCTATCACACCACAAATTTTGCAAGTACTCAACAAATTTAATCATAACTGATAATCATGGGAATTAATTAAGAGCTGGTTTTAGACTATTACTAATAATTGGTTTAATACCTAATAACTACAAGAAACAATATCTATTCCAGGTGTTCGTTATATTTTCAATTTTCAAAATTAAATTTTTACTATGTTTATTGTTTATTAGTTTAATATTTAGTCCTTGCTCAATACTTAGCGAATCTGAAGTGAAACTGTGTATTACATACGCAAAAAAAATTTGGATGCGAGATTTCCCGTTCCTACCAATAATGTACGGGTAAATGACATTTTATTATTAGATACGCATACCTGTACATTATTGCGTTTATTAAAATTAAAACAGCGTAAATGTTGTGGTAGCATTACGTTAAAATACAACCACAAAAGGCGCGAAAAAATCAATAGTTATCTCCCTATCAGACTCTTCAGCATACCTCTTGTTAGAACGAGACGACCATATTTGCATAGCTTTACGTGTCAATTGCTGCATCCTCATAGAACACGATGCACGAAAAATGACTGCATTCAATGACGCTTTATTATTATTTTCATTAAAATAAAAAAGAGTAAGTACAGTACTTACGCATGAAATGATATTTTTTTTGGATTTCTCATTGTTAATGTGTAATTTGTGCATTGTTCAAACACGCAGGAAAGTATTTTTCTACAACTTTTCCCGAGTGAAAATAACATTAGCCACAACGCTTGCTGAAACGTAACTAAAGTGAAGCTCAGGCCTTGCTTTTTTGTTGTCATTGTTGTGCGAAGATAACCCATTTAAACTTTTAGTACATCTTTGATTCCAACCATTTTTTATTATTTTGTCCGGTTACTGGATTACTCCTGGATCAGGCCCTGTTTTTCTCTGATTCTGTCTGTTTGCTAGCCTTTTTTGGTCACTGAGTACACGAATCACGTATTGAATATATATAAACATTATTAATTATATAATATAATTAATAATAATTATATATAATATAATAATATATAATTATTCTGATACCATTTTCTTATAGGTAAGTATTAATTAGATGTTTAAAAAGATCTTCATTTTAAAACCAAAGTTATTGAGATATCTATTTATTCTCGTACCATTACTTCGTCATTCCAAGATAATGCTCGGTACCACCTGCTTATATTACATAAACTCAAATTATATGTATTTAACAGCGTATGATCGTACAGAAAATCCAAATGTAATTAGGTATACCATCATTGTAAATACGTACTGTTTCTTTTTTTAAAATTACACATTTGATGTTGAGGCAATTAACAGCCAGTTGCACAAAAGTCCACCAAAATTTTCATTTGTTTAAAGCGACATTACCCATACAAATTTGACATTCATTAGAGTTTAAAGACGTCATTAAACCTTAATGGACGTTTGTGCAACTGCCCATATGTTAAATAGAAATTAAAGATGTCGCTGAACAAAAAATCGTTTTCAAACTCCTTATGTTGTTTAAAAGATCTTAGTGGAAGACATGACTGATGAATGAGTGTAGAGCATGAATGACTGTAGAAAAACGTTCTTGAATCCGTCATGCTACGTGTGCTGGTTAAGGAGACTAAAGGGAAATTATCTCCTCCGAGTTGGGCGTTTGTAACTCAAGAACCTAGGTCCAACCGATGTTGGTTGTAAGTTATATGTTAAGCCGCGGCGAATAGTAAACGTGATGCAGGTCTCGCGGAGCAATCTAGTGGCTGTTCGAAATGTCAATAGATGTCGCTACAATTCTAACATTATGGGAACGCTGTATTCGATGCTGCCTTCGATTCTGTATACTTCTTGCGAAATACCAAAGCAGATGGTAACAGTAGCAGAGAATACTGTGTGTGTAAAGCCTGCAGGTCCGGATACGTCAGTCGGACAGGATAATTGTCTCATATTTAGTACTAATGTCGTACTTATGAAGATTAATGATAGGTAGAGTTCGGTAGGCCGTTCGGCTTGCCTAAGGCGATCCCGATGATATGTAGTTACATTCATTTCTTAGTCTCTATAATGTTTGCTTGTACCGGTTAAATACTGATATGTTTACAATCA